GGAATGGCAGGAGGCAGTTTTAAAATCAGCACAGGGTTACGTGCAATTCACAAGGATTCATTCTGAGTAATAAATAAATATATTTATTTTCACTATGCCCATAAACATTGATTTTTTGGGAAAGATATTATTATGTGGCAAAGTTTCAGAGGATTTGAAAGGAATATGACAGAAATCAATTACTTAAATAAGCATTATTTTATCACAATCATTTTTTCAAATGGCTAATTCTAGGAAGGTTTTCAAATTCTGTCTTTATTCCATTTTTTTGATGTAAATCATTTAGGACAATAAAGCACAGTGAAGCAGAGGGCTATGGTCTGAGTGTTTGTGACTCCCCTACCCTCCCCCAAATTTTTATGTTCAAGAACTCTGCTGCCTAGGGTGATGGGATGAGGAGCTGGAGATTTGGGAGGTGATTAGGCCGTGAGGGTGGAGCCCTCATGAAGAGATTAGCGCCCTTATGAAAGGCCTGAGCAGCTCCCTTCTGCCTTCCCCAAGGCAGAGTACAGTAAGTCAGCACTTTGCAGTCAGAAGAGGACACCCACTGTAGGGTACATGGAGTCAGTCTGGCTCCCTCACCCAGATGCGTGGGTAACAGTAGGCAGCAGCTCCTCACAACCTTGAAGGAGTCTGATAAAGCAGTGTTCCCACAGTCTTCAGCCCGGGTCTCACCGCCTTGAGCCCTCGGTGAGATAAACTGCCCTGTAGCCTTGAGTAGGCTTGCATGGGCAGCTCAAGATAGTTACTTCACTTTTCTGGCCTGTTGCCCACTTTGTTTGGGGCTAGTATTTAAGGGATAGGAGTTTTGGATGAGGTGGGGAATTAGGGCGCTGACTTGGACACGGGCTTGTGGCCTGTGTGACTCCCTCCACATGGGCTCACGGCCTGTGTGTGGTGCGGATACAGGTTTTGTGACCTGTGTGATTTCCCCAGACCGGGCTTGTGCCTGTGTGACTCTCCCGAATAAAGGCATGTCAAGCATCCCCAAGGCTCCACACATCTTCTTCCGTCTGCCCAAGTCCCGAGCGGACCTGTCCAGCCTAGAGAGGCTGCAACACACCCACCAACTGTGCTGGCACCATTGGGACATTGCCATTTTTATCTTTGTATTTCTAAAATAATCTGTGATGAGATGATTTAAGGTGGTGTAAATGTCCTATTTTCATTTAGCATCTGTTGATGAATCTCACTGAGTCAATAATTGATGACAGTAAAATGGTGATTTTTCTTACGCTGCTATTCAGAAGATACAAAAAAAATTCTAAGGGGGTAGGGAATGTAGCTCAGTGGTAGAGCTCATGCTTTGCCTGTATGAGTTCCTGGTTTTGATCCCTGGAATAAAAAAAAAAAATTTAAGTTTTTACTCTGATATTAATTGGGAGCCCGATTTTGTTACATATAGTTTGAACACTAAGATTTAAGAAACTCCCTAAATTCAGCATTATAATTTTTTTTCATTAATATCACAATTGTCTCATTTTCTCTGTCTCTATCTCATTGTCTCTGTTTTGGTGATATTATATAATGATAATTATTGTTACTAACAATGTTTATTAAATGCTTACTCTGTGCCAGGCACGGTGGTAAGCACCTAGGGTGTCTCATTTGGTCTTCACAGTACCTATGAAATAGGTACTGTTATTGTTAATTTTCCAGTGGAGAAAACTGAAGGTCAGAGAGGTTAAATAACTAAATAACTTGCCTAGGGTCACAGAGCTTGTTTGTCCAGTGTGCTGCTGTTAAGTCTCCCACCGTCACTTGTAATATAACGTAATCAAGGGGAAGGAACTAAACTGCCCTGGGAATGTGATCAGTGCCTCTATCTTTCACTTCCAAGGCAGCTCTATTATTACATATCCACTCTCACTGTAGCCAAGAGCTGGAATATTCGCTAGTAGTTTGAGGTGAATTCAGCTTCCCGGTGTGAAATAGAGCAGCAGAAACTTGAAGTAGCATAGTGAAGTTGTTTTGAAATGCTATTGAGAGGTATTTTCTCTCCCTGTGACCTGAAGTTTTGGATAACTTCTTTTCTCCTAGTTTTATTGAGATATAATTGACATAGAACGTTATATTAACTTAAAGTGTACAACATAATGATTTGATATAATGCTAGGGGAGACCTCCCAAAACCCAAAATTACCTTCTAGAGAGTGAGCCCCTTGCAGTACAGGTTTCCTCGGCTAGGTGAGTGATCTAGGAACCCATTCGTGTCAGTGTACCAGCTGGTGTTTTTGCGAGGGGCTGTGTTAGGCTTCAGTGAATTTTTTTTGCAGACTCTTTGAACGCATTTATCCATTTCATGATGGGTGATTTACGACCCACCTGCTCACACCAAGTTGAATGTTCAGCAGTTTTTGACCAAACGACCTCCCACTGTGCCCCCTCTCCCTATTTACCCTAGCTTTCCCTGAGCAACATACTTGGCTTCCCTAGATGAAAAAATTCCTCAAAGGGAAACATTTTGCTGATATGCAAGAGGTTAAACAAAAGATGGCAGGAGCGCTAAAAGGAATCAAAATTGACAAGTTCAAAAACTGTTTTGAGTAGTGGAAAAAGTCTCCATAGGTGCATTGTATCGAATGGAGAGTACTTTGAAGGTGGCTAAAGTTTAAACATGTAAAAATAAATACACTTTTTTAAATAAATAAATTCTGATTTTTTAGGGTCTCCCCTTGTATGTTATAAAAATGATTACCACTATAAATTTAATCAATGTCCATATCAGTTCGCATAGTTACAATTTTTTTCTTGTGATGACAACTTTTAAGATTTACTCTTAGCAGCTTTCAAATATGCAATATAGTTTTTTTTTGTAACTATAGTCACCATGCTGTGCATGACATCCTCATGACTTATATACATTTTATAACTGGAAGTTTGTACCTTTTGACCCCCTCACCCATTTTGCCCACCCCTCATCCCCCCACCTCTGGCAGCCAACCAATCTTTTCTCTGTATCTACGAGTTTGATTTCTCTAGATTCCACTGTGTGACTTTTCTTTCCTCATTGCTCATTAGGGAGCCTAAGCAATACTCAAGCATGAATCAGGAATGTTTAAATGTTGAAATTAGGGGTTACAGGAGAAGAAAGTGCCATGAACATAGAGAATCAGAGAGTAAAGTAGAGGAAAGGGGAGGGACAAAAAGAGGGAAGTATTCTCAATGGTAAATTTGAATGTATGCTCCAAAAGGGGAGGGACTTTTTTTCATTCCTGTGAATGTAACATGTAGGATGGAGTCTGGCACATAATGGGAACTCAGTAAATATTTGTTTAACAAATCATGGGACTGTGGTGCTGCTGTAGTGTGGATGGTCCAGTGCAGAGCAGCTAAGGAGGTGTGCCCATCAAATCTCCCTTAAGAGAGAATTTACCATTCAGTTGTAGAAGTGCAGTTGGCTGGCAGCCTCCAGCTGGTAACACCTTTTGCCTCTGCCTCTGCTTTTAAGTGTAAGCCATGATCTTGCCAATGCCTGAACATAGAGGGGGGTACTGTTGCCTGGCTGTTTCTGCCCAGTATAGTCTCCTCTAAGGGCCACTCTCTGCTTTAGAGCTCACCTTTGGATCAGCCAAGACCCTGTGAGATGTCCATCATGGTCTGAGGCTTTCTGCCCAAACTTGCTTCCTCTCTTTTAATCTTTTAACGTTCACTCCCATAAACCTCTTATACTCCTAACTACATTTCCATATTTGCTTTCTGAAGGACCCAAATGATGAAAGATGTGACAATTTGCCTTAAAGCCTCAGTATCACCTTGGTGTAGGGCGATCTCTCAGTCTTCCTAGGTCTCAACAGTCTTCTTGGTAAGGTGGTGTACCCAACCTTCAAGGACAGTGCACCTCATGTGGTCTGTGGGCTGGTGCCAGTCCATAAACTATTTATTATCTGTCTACAATGAGATGAGCGCAGACATTGAGAATAATCATTTATAAACTTTTATGGCAATTCAGCATTGCTGCAATAACTGTGATTGGTAAACTGATTTTCTTGAATACAGTATAGATTAGTTTGGATGTTGTTGAACTCACCTGCTGAGTCCCATGTGGTGTGAATTGTGCATTAGTCATGTGCTATAGGACCACATTACACCTTGTGATATTTTAAAATTGGCTTGGTTATTATGAGCCTGGCAATGTATAAAATCTTGAATTCGTTGCTTTTGTTAGAGGATAATTTAATTTTACCCTGGCTGGGTAGGTCAGGGTTAGAGTGTCATCCCAATATGACAACACTGCGGGCCCCTAGTCAGGGCACATGCAAGCAGCAAACAATGGATACAAAAATAAGTGAATAAGTGGGATAACAAATCAATGCTTCTCTTTCTCCCCGCTTTCCTCTTTCTCTAAAAGTCAATAAAAAAGTCAACGAATAATTAAAAACAAAAAAATAGTTTAGGTACATTACCCTTTACCAGAAGCTACTTTAATCTGGCTAGACTATAAGAATGAACCAGAAGATAACTCATTTGTTACTTAAAAAAACTAGGTATGGACATACGGGGTATTTGTTCAAAGCTGTTTGTTAAATTACGATTACGGAATAAAGAGTTAGGAATGTAAAAATGATGCTTAACTACTTACTATACTTTTAATGACAATATGTGACATTTTTGTAATTAATTTTCTTTTATGTTCTGATTGTGTTTTTCGAGACTCATTTTTAAGGATACAATGGACGTATAGTAGGAACCAGGGCCCTGGAATGAGCTCGGTGAAAGTAAAAACCTGAACAAACCTTTAGTAACGAGCATTTTTTCTTCTAGTAAAATCTACTCAACCCATATTTGGGGTTTCGGCCTAATACAAATCCAGAGAAACGTGCGCAGTGTTTCATCCCAAGCTCCTTCCACAGCTCTTTCCACAACGTCAGCCAGAAGCACTTCAGAACAATTGCCTTTGAGAGCAGAGGGAAAAGGAACGGAGAGGCGGGGCAAACAGCGGAGGGGCGGGACAAGCAGCCGAGGTCATCACAGAGCGGCGCTGACGGGACAAGCGGAGCGGGCGCCTCGTTGACGTCACCGCCGCCCGCCTGCTTTCGGGGAGACGCGAGTGGAAGGCCAGTGAGGTATTATTCGAAGCCGGGCTTTGCGTTTTTCTCGGTCTCTGCAGAAGTCTTTCTCTTGTCCTGCGGTGCCCCTTTCATCCTCCGGCTGCCTGTGAGGAGTGAGGTCGGGCCTCACAGTTTGCGAATGCGAGCTCGCTTAGCTGAGCGTTGGGGAGAACACCGCTGCGGGACCCCTGCTTCGTTTGTCCTGTGGCGCCTTCCGGGTCTTGGCTTACCTGGCCCCCTCACGTCTCTCGTGGTCCAGCTTTTCGCTTCTTATACTTTTAGCTCCACCTCTCAAATACTGGAAGGCGGAGAGTTTAAAAACACTTGACTTCACAGTTAGTTTTCAGCTGCCTTTAATCCTTGATTAAGGACCAAAGGCAAAAGGGAGAGCTGCGGGAGCGCCGCTTTCCTGTGTCACTCATTTAGATCATTCACATTCATGATCACGAACTGTCTGCCCTTGCTTTATTAGCCCACCTGAGATGGTGGGCTAATTTCGACCTTCGGTTGAAATCAGTGGTGGATAATCGCAAGATAATGGTTTCACTTTGTGGCTCAGGAATGTTCAGTGTGATTTAAACTTCTGCTGGCCGTTTGAAAAGATCTTTAACGTCTTCCTGTTTGTTGACTGATGTCCAGTTTGGCTTGATAAAGATGCAGCTATCCCAATGAGATGTTTGCTACCCACCTGTTAGCCTATTTGGACTGTCTGTTAGTAGACTGAACCCGAGACTTAGCCGTATGTTGCCTCGGCTTTGAAAATCCCTAGATAACCCCTAATAAAGTTTAGAGAACTGCTTGTAATTGAAGTGATAGAACTCATTGTTTTGTTGAAAGATAAAATAATGACAGTGTGACAAATGATTTTTAAAAGTAAAATAATTCTCAGTCAAAATGTGTTATTGCTCACTTCAGATAGCGGTGTTGTGTGTATTAAGGTTCAGAGGTGATGGTTTTTCACTTTTTACACGGCTCTTTATGTGTGTGATCTCAGCTGCTCTTTCCAAACAGTTGACCATTCTAGTATGGCTCTAAATAGTTCACATTGGATTAAGGTATTTGATTGTTTTCATTCACTAAAATAATAGCTAATATTACTAATGTTTTGATGTTTATTGGGCCATCACTCTTCTAATAACTTTTACCTATACTCATTTAACCTGCACAGTAGTCTTGTATACTGTTACGATTATTTTAGAGATCAGAAAATATGATAAGCAAGTTTCATGGTTTTGTTTTTATTTTTTAAATATTTTATTTATTTATTTTTAGAAAAGGGAGCGGAGAGAAAGAGGGAGAGAAACATCAATGTGTGGTTGCCTCTCTGGGGCCCCCCACTGGGGACCTGGCCGGCAACCCAGGCGTGTGCCCTGACTGGGAATCCAATGCGCAGTCCTTTGGTTTTCAGGCCCGCTCTCAAGCCACTGAGCCACACCAGCCAGGGCGCAAATTTCATGGTTTTAGAAAGTAATTTTGCTGCTGTATAATTTTGAAAACACGTCAAATTAAACATTAGAATTAAACAATAGAAGTAACTTCACTGTAATCTGATGTAATCATCTCAATCTTTAGCAGCCTCTTTATATCATTCTGTTATCAGACGTTTGGGTAGATTTGTTTTTAGAGGTTAATATCTTTAAAAGGATGAAGCCTATCTTAGAGGTTTTACTGTAATTCTGAAGGAGGTTTACAGGTAACACTGACATGGATTGTCTGCCAAGACAGCAATATTTATTGAGATTGTTGTATGTACATTGCATTATTGTTTTCTAAGATGATTCAGTGCAACAAAATCATTACACTAACAGAATTCTGGTGCAACATCTGCAGATGTCTCTCTGATTCCAAAAAAAAATTATATATTGGCTTTGTTCTCTCGCTTAGTTCATAATTATGTGTAACTGTACTTGGCATGGGGTGGAAACAGGCCCAGAATGTACATTACAAATTTTTTTTTTGATCTATGTGTTGACTTCCTAATATTTGTAAGTCCAAACTCTAATGTGATATTAAGATTCCCCAAAATTTGACTCCAATTTACTTTAATTTTAGTCAGTTAACAGATAGTTACTGAGTACCTACTATGTGGCAAGACATTATGTTAGTCATGTGGAGATACAAATACCACACTACATGAATCCTGCCTGTGGTTGAATAACCAGTGGAAATTTCTGAGCAGAGGAGTGATATGATCTGATTCAGACTTTTTAACAAGATCACGCTGGATGCCTTCAGAGCCACAGGTTGTTAGAGAGTGGGGTAGGTGAACGCCACGAGACTAATTAGGAAGGTGGTGTAGTAATTCAGTTGAGATGATAGTGGCTTCACAGAGTGGAAAGAAGTGACTGTGCTGAGTAGCAGTTCAATTTTGGATGTATGTCATAGGTAAAGCTAACAGATTTGCTTATGGATTGATTGTGGGTTTTAAGTGTAAGATGATTGTCAAGGGTTTGGGCTTGAGCAGCTAGAAGGATGGAATTACCATTAACTGAGAACTGGAAAACTATGAGAAGATCCACTTTGTGGGGGAAGATTACTTGAGTTATGATGTGTTATGTCTAACATGTCTGTTCGTCATCCAAGTGGAGATGTTGAGTAGGCAGTTAAGTCTGGAGTCCAGTGGGGAGGTCGTTGCTGGAAAAGAACATTTGGGAGATACCAGTGAACATTTGGTTTATAAAATTGTGAAACTGGAGATAATCATCAAAGGAGTGAATGTAAACAGAAAAAAGAAGCAGTAGAGGACCCAAATCCTTAGGCAGTTTTGGACTCCATAAGTTTGAGGTGATGAACTTGCAAAGGGACATAATGAACAGCTAGTGAGGGACAGTTTTGAGAATCTGGTGTTGTGGAATTCAGGGTGAAATGTTGTGTTCTAGTGTTAGTCAGATACAGCTGATGTATCAAGTAAAATAATGATTGACACCTCTGTATTGATCAAGAAACAAAAGAAGGAGTGTTATTGATGGACATGTGATAACTACTAAGTCTGGAGAACCTTGGGAGCAAAGAGGAAGATATGGAAACCTTTATAGAGGAGGATGCATTTGATTAGGTTTTAAAGGATTAGTAGGTTTCTCTAGGCCCAGAAGATACAGGGAGATGATATTCCAAATAGAGGAAAACGCCTCACTTCTCTCTCTTCAAGGCCATACCTCCCAGTCAGCTGTTAATTCTTTTGCCCTTCCTTATCTTTCCTCTGTGCCCACTAGCCAATTCCTCATTCGGGTAACCATTTTTCTTCTAGGCCTATTGAACATTGCTAAAGAAATTCACAAAAGACATGAATTAACATTACCCAACTTCAACTGAATCATCTCTCAGTGCCCTGACCTTACCTGGGTCCTCTCTCAGTTTCCTGACAATTCCTATTCTCTTCTATCAGTGAAGAAGGCTGATACTATTTGGAAAATTGATTCATTTGAAATACAATGTTAGAGGAGACTTCTGTGGGTACATTGGACCTCAGGAAAGACAGACAAGTGGGTCCTAGAGCAAATTAAGCCTGAAACATTACTGGAGGCGAAAATGACAAAACTGAAGCTGCCCTACTTTGGGCACATGTTTTGGAAAAGATAATAATATTGGGAAAAATAGGCAGCAGGCAAAACGGGAATACCAAATATGAGATGAATTGAGTCCATCAAAGAAGTGAAAGGCATGAGTCTATAGGAGCTGCGAAGGGCAGTTGAGGACATTGTGGACATCCCTCATTCTATTGGAGCCTTGAAGAAAAATTACATGCATATACAAGTATGTCTTCACACTCATGTATCTCTTTTCTTAAAGACAAATATATATCCTGTTCTTCAACTTTTGTTCACATTAATATATTTTAGGATTCTAAGCTCTACTTTATACCTTTTCATTGCTGCAGAGTTTCTTATTGACTGACTACAGCATAATTTATTCAGCCAGTCCTTGTGATTGGGCACATAGGTTGTTCCCTGGTTTAAAGTTTCAGTGTTTTAAAGAGTGCTGCAGTGGATGTCCTTGAACATTATCTTATATGAAAATACATATTTTGAGAAGTAAAATTGCAGCGTCAAAGAATGTGTCTGTGTATAATTTTGCCAGATTGCCCTACAAAAATGCTCAGTTTACATTCCAAGTAATAGTGAATGAGAGACTGTTTCTCCTCACCTTTGCTCGTATTAGGTTCTATCAATCTTTTTAACTTTTGCTTATTTGACATGAAAAATTGCATCTTGTTTGGTTGATTTATGTTTCTTTAATTATGAGTAAGATTGAATAACTTTATGCTCATTGGTCATCTGGATTTCTGTATTTGTGAACTGCAGGTTTTCTTTGTTCATTTTTCTTTTGGGTTTTTTTTTTTTTTTAAATTGATTTGTAGAGGCTCCTTTTATCTGTATTTACGTCACAAATATTTTCCCCTAGTTTTTCATGTGACTTTAAGCTTTGTTGGCTTTTAAAATTTATTTTCTTATGCATCCATTTTTATAAGAGCCAGGTAAAGATGTAACACTTCAGGATTTTTTTAAAGAAGGAAATTTGTGACATTCTTAAAATAATTATAGACATCCTGAAATGTCAGCCTTTGTTGGGAATGTTAGAAACACAAACCTCATGTGAAGCCACAGGCTCTGTCTTGTTTTCATGAGTTTTGTTTAGCAACTGCCACAGATCTGGCAGCACTCAGTAACCTGCCTTCCCCTCACCTTCAATTACATTTGGAATTGAGAGTAGATGTAATAGAGCTGCCTAAGTGTTCTAGACTATACTGCAGATTTAGGTACCCCCAATTTATGAACTGAATTGTGTTCTAAAAGTTACTTTGTGAGTTAGCTATCTAATCTATCTTATTTCACTACAGAAATAACATAGATAGGTTTGCTACCCTTGCTTTCAAAGTGTAATTAATCCATGAAGACTAGTTTGTTTTTTTTTTTAAGCAAATTCAAGATACTGTGCAATTTTACAGAAAGGACATTTTTCTGATGTAACTCTAATGCTATTTTCATAGATGACAAAATTGTCAGTAATTTCTTGGTGTTATCTTGTATTCAATCCATGTTCATTTTTCTTACAAAAGTATTTTTGTACACTTGGTTTATTTGACTCAAGATCCAAACAAGATCTACACATTCCATTTGCTTGTTATATCTTCAAAGTCTCCTTTTTCTCTTTCTCTAAAGCCTTTTTCTTTTCTTTCTTCATGCCATTTACTTGTTAGAGAAGCCAGGTCAATTGTCCTACAGAGTATTTCTCATTCCAGATTGCTCTCTTTGCTTTCTGGTGGATTAACTTGTTTCCCTATCCTCCATATTTCCTGTAAAATGGAAGTTAGCTCAACTAAAGGCTCAATTAAGTTCAGATTCAACTCTTTCAGGAAGTTGGAAATGCTACACAGATGATGCTGTATACATCATATTGCTTCACACCAGAAGTTTCTTAATGTGTGTTTGTCTGACTTTTAGTGAGGTGACGATAGATCCATGTGCTCAGTCAGGTAGTGTTATCCTCATCCTTCTGTTGTAACTTCCCCATCATCTGTTTATCTGCTGGCGATTGTCTGAATTTATCATTTCACTAAAGATTGCACAATGGTATTTTGAAAAAAAGTTGATATTTCTTTCACATTTGTTAGCTGGAATTTGAAATCTAGTTTTATTACTTGGGAACCTGACAATCAAGAATAACAAAGTTGCTGTGGGAGAATGCTGTCAGAACAGCAACTTGCGATGCTGGGAATATACACCTTTGCTGTAGTTCTGGTGGCTTAAAGGGGTGTGATGGTCTTCTTGATGTGTTAGTGTGGCTAGAGTGCTGTCCTCAGATATTTAGTGAAACCTCAGTCTAGGTGTTGCTGTAAAGGTATTTGTAGATGTCATTAAAATCCACAGTCAGTTGACTTTAAATTAGGGAGATTATTAGGCTTTACAAGTAGAGTTGAGACTTCCCTGACAAAAGGGAGATTCCACCAGTGGACAGCAGCTTCAGCTTGTAACCTAGGGTTCCAGCTTGCCCTTCCTTGAAGGCCCGCCTTACAGATTTTGAAGTTGCTTAGCCAGCCCCCACAATTGCGTAAAACAGTTTCGTGTAAGAAATCTCTTCATACGTATCTCCTGCTGGTTCTGCTGCTCTAGTTGAACCCTGGCTGGTACCAGTAACTCCCCTGATTCTTGTTCTCTGACAAAATGGAGTAGGGCGTGGGGTCAGAGTCAGAGGATCTACTTAGACTTACCGTGTAATAAATTTCTCAGACTGGGACTCCTGAGAGATGGGGAGCTGAGCAAGATGGTAGGCTGAAACAACACGTATAAACTGGGTCTGTCCTGGGCACATAGACAGAGGATCATTCTGTGTGTCAGCCACTGGTGATAAAATATCAGTGTGACACCGCCCCTCAGGTTGCTTACAGTCAAAGGGAAGTCAATCAAAGGATGTTACCAGATAGTGTTTTAAGGGACATTGTTTATCCAGACAGAATGGGAGGGTGGCACTCAGAGGGTGAAAGGTCAGAGTGAGCATGGCACATTTGGACAACTGCCATGATGGCTGTGACCTTAGGATTGGAAGAGGGGAGCCATGAAAGATGAGGTTAGTCAGACGAGCAAGGGTCACATCAAAATGGGCTTGGCATCCATTCCTGCGGGGTTTGGAATTTATCTTTACGATGGTGGGGGACAGTTGCAGAATTTTAAATAGGGGCATACCATGGCCAGAGTATCTTTGTAGAAAAATTGTATTTTGTAACATTCTAAAATTGACAGTGGAAAAAAATTGATAGTAGGAAGACTACTCAAAAGCTCTTGAGAAAAATTTAGTCAGTGAGGAGGAGAAGCTTGTGGTATAAGGAGATTAAGGCAGCCATATTGACTGATTGGATTTGGGGCCAGAGGAAGGAGTGAGGGGTGACTTCCAGGTTTCTGGCTGGACTGGCCTCCCTGAAGTAGAGAATCAAGGGGAATGTAAGGGGACGACTTCGGTTCTGTGTGTGATGCTCTGCATCCCTCCTTTTCTCCTGTGGGTGCTATGGTTTCTATAACCAGGGAGAGGAGGGAAGGAGGGACACCATCCTGTAGGGGTTACTGGGCAGGGTTCCCCCTTCTCCGCCCCTTAGTCTCTCAGCCAGACCTTACTGAGGGATGAAGAGAAGCAAATGCTCTCACGCCCTCTCCCCGTTTTCACCTCTGCAGCCAGGCTTTGGAAGGAGTAGGTGGAGGGGTGTGGACTACTGATGGAACCCCAGACAGGAGTGAGGAGCAGAGGTGAGTTCTTTTCTTCTTTCTCTTTTTTGTACATTTTACCATGTACAACCTTGGGCAAGTTATTAAAACTCAGTTTCTTGTCTATGAGGAGTAGATGAGTTAGTGTGTGTGGTGTGCTTAAAATAGTGCCGGACTTGCTGGCAGTGTAGTTCAAGTGTCTGCTGTTGCTGCTAAGACCATCCAACTGCTTCATCGTGGAGTCCCAGTAGCAGAGGGAGCAGAGGGAAGTTTCTGCAGTTCCCTCCTGCAGCTTTCCTGTGGAAGGAGCCAGTATTCAGGAACTGTCCATATAGGATGTTAGGAAAAAATCATTTGATCTGGAGAGAATCTCTGGTAATAGAAGACCCTTTATTTTTTAGTCTGCCTTGCCTTTTTTTTTTTAAAGTTAGGTAAAAGGCAAATGGTTCAGTTCAGATTTAATGAGAGTAATTATTCTTAATTACTGCCTTGCTTTTAGTGTTCACCCTAATCCATTTTAACAATGTATAACTACTTGTTTATTGGGGCTTAGGGACAGGGAATAATTGCAGGAAAAAAATCCCCATTTTGATTCTAGAAAGGGAAAATATTTTCTAATAGAAAAATTGGATGAAAAAATTTAGGTTTAGGTAAAGGCCTTTGTGTGTGTGTGTGTGTGTGTGTGTGTGTTTTCACACTTGCAATATTTGTTAAAAGCCAAAATACTTTATTAGAATATGCCTTTTTTTAAATTTAATGATTATTTTCATTACAAATTTAACATGCCTTATGAAGTGACAAAGCTTAAATGATGAAGAATGAAGAGTTAAAAAAATGAGTCTGCTTTGATTCTACTGCCTAATCCCTGCCCCTTTGCAGAGATTTTATGTTTCCTTTGAATCTTTTTCTACATATGTATAGATACAGGTTTTTAAAAACAAATGGCATATGATAGATACATTACATGTTATATACAATGTTCTATGACATTTTTCACCACTTCTCATTATGTGTTACTACATAAAGATTTACTTCTTTATTTTTTTTACTGTGAACAATATTTTATTTAGTCATTTTTATTTACAACTGAAACTCTGGGAATTCAAAATTAACATCCTTGCCTTTGAGCTTCTTATAGACATCAGAAAAACTTTCAACCTTGTGCTCCATGTTGTTCTGCTGGGATTTATCCAAATGAACCTTTATGAGCTGGCTTATTTTTAATATTCTTTTGGGCAGATATGCTACAATTCATTTAGCTGTTTCCCTATTGATGAATAGTTAGATTATTTCCAGTATTTTGTTCTGGGTTATTTATTCAGCAAATGTTTATTGACTGCCAGGCAGTGCTAGTAAATAAAGCACAAAAAATTCTATTCTCATGTAGTTACCATCTTTTGAAGTGGACAGGCAATAAACAAGTAAAATAAATACGTCAGGTGTTACTGAGGACTGTAAGGTAGAGAAGGACATACATAGGGAGTGCCGGGGTGTGCGTTTTTAACAGACAGTGGTTAGGGAAGGTTTACCAATACATGCCACTGCAGTACGATCTGGCAAGTAAAGTAACAAGCTCTGAAGCTCTTGCTGGGGGAGGAAAGGAGGAGCAGGACATTTTGTGAAGGTGCGAAGAAGTACAAAGGCCCTGAGGTAGGGACATACCTGTTGTGATTGTGAGGGGAGCAGTGATGCCATCCTGGCGAGTGTAGCCTGAACAAGGGGTAGAGTGGGAGGAGCTGAGGTCACAGAAGGATGCAGGGAGGGCAAATTATGTTGGGCTTTTTAGGGCGTTGTGAGGACTTTGTCTGATACTCTCAAGTGGTAAGCCTTTGGAAGTTTCCAAGCAGAGGTATGACAGATTTGGAGTGACCACTCTGCTTTTTCTTGATAATAAACGACCAGACTGGAAACAAGGAAGTCATTTAAGAGGCTATTGCAATAATCTAGGCACAGCACAGAAATGGCTTAGACTGCGCTGGACCAGGGTGGTAGCAGTAGAGGTGGTAGGATGAGGTTAGATTCCGAAGATATTTAAAGACAGGGTGAGAGAGAAAAGAGTTCAGGACTTCTCTGAAATTTTAGGTCTGGACAGCTGGAAAGGTGGAGTTACCATGAAATGAGGTGGGGAAGATTAGAATAGGCAAGATTAGGAATTTGGTTTTGGGCACATTATGTTTGAGAATCCATTAATACCTAATATTGAGTAAGGAGCTGGAAATGGAGATTTGGAATTCAGTAGGGAGGTCAGAGCTGGGGATACAGACCTGGGAGTCATCAGTTTATTAATGCAGTTTAAAGCCCTGAGCTCACATAGGGAGTAAATTAGAAAAGAAAAGAGAATTAAGGACAGGCCTTGGGAACTCAAAGTTAAGAGACTAAGGATATGAGAAGGATGTTGCAAAAGACACCAAGAAAGCAGCCAGTGAGATAGGAGGGGAGCCCCCCCAAAAAATGATGCATTGGAAACCAAAAGAAGGGAGTCAGTGAAGTTGAATGATGAGAACTGACCATTAAACTTAACGATAAGGCAATGTGAGTGACCTTGACAAGAGCAATTTTGAGTGAGAAGCAGGGGGCCTGTCTGAATTAGATTAAAAAATGAATGGAAGGAGAGGGATTGGACTGTTGGCATAAGCAGTTCTTTTGAGAAGTTCTAAAAGGGAGATAGAAAAGGGAGAGCTTTAGCCCTGGCAGGCGTGGCTCAGTGGATTGAGTGCTGGCCTGTGAATCAAAGGGTCGCCAGTTTGATTCCCAGTCAGGGCACATGCCTGGGTTGCGGGCCGGGTCCCCATTCTGGGGCGCACAAGAGGCAACCGCACATTGCTGTTTCTCTCCTCCCTCCCTTCCCCTTTCTCTACAAACAAACAAACACACAAATAAATATTTAGAAAATGGAGCTTTAACTGGAATGGGTTATGTAGTGAAGCTGTTTCTTTTTTTTGGCTAAGATGGAGAAATGAAATATTTTAAGATTTATGGGTAATGATCCAGCAGAGGGAAAAATTGATGCAAGAAAAGTGGGGGAAATACAGAGAAGGGTTTGAAGAGTCCGTTCAGATAAATTTGTATGTATATATACAAGGATTTCTGCAGGCTAGATTCTTGAGAGGGTTTCCTGAGTCAAAGGGAATGTGCATTTAAAAAATCTGTACCAATTTATATTCCACTTTCAGTGTATGCCCTTGCTAACATTGATTTTTGTAATCTTTAAAATTACTACCAATCTGATGAGCAATGTCGTCATTATTTTAATTTGTTTAATGCTTTTTAGGAACTCAATATACTCTAACTAACCGTTTGTTATATTCTGGCAAATATTTTCCCCCAAGTTGTTTCTTGTAACTTTTACCATATAGTTTTTTAGTTTTTATGTAGTTAAGTCTGTCAACCATCTCCTTTTATAGCATTTGGGTTTTATTTGGATTATATAAATATTTTATATAATCTTTTAATATGTTTATTCATTTACCTTTTGCATTCATCTGGAATTTATTTTTGTGTATATTATGAAATAGATGTCTTAAGTTTTCCATCTTTTTCTATGTCCTTAACCAGTTAAATACCATAAGACTTAACTGTTTCTTGAAGGTTTAGAAGAAATCACCTATAATACCTTTTAGGTTTGGATCCACTTTGAAGGGTAGATCTTTGACTTCCTTTAAATTTTTTCCTTATGATTAATTATCTATTTGTGTATATACTTCTTCTAGGTTACTTTTGCTAATTGATTCTTTCCACCAGCCCTTCATTCTTTTTATTTATATTTTCAAATTTATTAGTTTAGAATTTTACATAAGGAGAAGAAATACTGAGTCTTCTCTATGTTTGTGGTATATCCCTTGTACTGACAACCTTTACCTGGACAGCAGATGCTGCAGCCACCCTTTGAAGGCCTAGAGATTGGGTCAGCTGTTTTCAGCCCTGTGGCCTAGCTCTTATTGCCTTGGTTTTGGGGTTATTCATAGAGTCTCCCCATTTGTTTGTAAGGGATTGCGGGCTCCTTGTTTGTTTCCTATCAGTTTTATCCTGTTTGCTCTTACAAAACTCTCTGCTGTTGAGATTTGCTGATTGGTGTGTGCCCTTTTTGGTTTTCAGTATTACTATGGATTTATTTTTATATTTCTTTTACCATTTTGGAGAGGTTTTTGGGAGGGGTGAGAGGCAAATACATGTTTTCAGTTAGCCTTTTGAATTAGTAAGTCACACTTCTTTCCTGTGCACTTTCCTTTTATCATAGTTCTTTGTTTAATTGCTGGTTGCACAGTAGTTGGAAAGTAACTTTACAATGCAAGTAGTGATAGTCAGATGTACCTCCCTTTTTTTTGTAAATGAACCCAGATGTCTCAGTGGAATATATATTTGTTGAATAGAAATGTTGGTATATTGTGGCTAAAATTCAAATAATACTTTTTAAACTTAAATTACATAGTCATAACATTTAGAAGTATAATGGTCCTTTACAGATCATTAGACCATTTTATGGATGAGGTATTTTTGAGGCCCAGAGAGATTCAGTGATTTATCTAAGGTGATAAAGGCAGTGGTCAAGCAAGATGGAAAGCCCAAGTCTTTTTACTTGGATTCTGCTATGTAATGTGCTTTTTTTTAACCACATTCTTGCTGTTCCCTTTAGCTATGTAATGAAAGAGGTATTTTTCATCTAATAAAATTTTTTTTTTAAACCTAAAGGTGGTATGTATGGCTTAGAGTTGCTCCTGAAATTTGGTCTTAGATACCATATGAAGTATGTTGATGTGGATTTTGCTTTTTCTCACAGAGATATTAAATATTATGATTAAATGTGAATTTTAAAAGAATGGGATGTCAAGGTATGCTCTAGCCTAAATGAAAACCATATAGTTTATTTCTCCCAAGTTTTCTCTTTTCTGCTTTATGTGATTTATGGACTTTTTGAATTTCTTAATATTTTAAAGAAGGTTAAGGAATATATATATGAAAATATAAATATAGACTTGAAAAATGATTTTAGTGCTAAATAATCATAAGATTATTTTAGACCTAGCATTTCTCATATTTTAGTTTTATATATCATGCTGCTAGATAAACACCTAAATTTAGAAGGCTAAAATATATATATTCTTTAAAAAAAAAAGCTTTGCTTATTTTTTTCAGCAAGCATTAGGGGATATACTTCGATAGACATTTAAAAAAATTTATTCATTGATTTTAGAGAGAGGAAGGGGGATGGCGGTAGGGGAGAGAGAGAGACAGAGAGAAAGAGAAACAGATTTGTAGTTCTACTTATTTATGCATTTGTTGGTTGATTCTTGTATGTGCCCTGACTGGGGATTGACCCCCAATCTTGATGTATTGGGATGATGCTCTAACCAATTGAGCTACCTGGCCAGGGCAAAGAGAAAGTTTTTTAAATGTAGGATTTTGATTATTTATATTCCATGTTTGGTAGTTAGTTCTTGGAAAGCATGGAAAGGTTGATATATGTAGCATTAGTAAACTTGGGTGGGTCTCATCCCTGTTCTCCACCTCCCTGCTTCGTAGGCAACTTAAGAAGAGGGGAAGTTTAAATGTAGTTGCTTTAGAATTATATACTAAGATTTGTTTAATTGCCTTCAAGTTTTAACTCTATTAGCACTTTGAAGTACATGGTATTGATCTTTTTTTTTTTTTTTTTGGTAACCTTTAAAGAGCAATCTCTGTCTCCAATATGATTTTTTTTTTTTTTTTTTTGTAACCTAAAGAGCAATATCTATCTACAGTGTGGATTCTAAGAATTTACTTTTTTCTAGTTGGTCATAATGGCAGAAGAAGAAATTAATGAAGACTATCCAACAGAAATTCATGAGTATTTATCAACATTTGAGAATTCCATTGGTGCTGTAGATGACATGTTGAAGACCATGATGTCTGTTTCCAGAAATGAGTTGTTGCAGAAGGTACTTCAAAAATGTAATTTCTAAAAATGTAATTCCTAAAACAGAGTGCTGTGTTAAGAAATAGATTAATGATATATGCATGCTCCTTTCCCCCTTTCTTTCAATTTTATAAGTGTTTGGGTGTTTTTAGGGGAGAAAATAAAACAAAACTCCAACCTTAGGAAATACCTCTTAACTATATTTTATTTTGACTTGGTTGGGGGGGGGGCGGGGAAAGGACCACTCATAGCATTCTTTTCCACAGACTCTATATTTGACCTTTTAAGTATTACAATGATGTTATCAGGGTTCTGGAAATCCTATAGGACAAAAAGAGTAAATTGACTTTGACAGTCTAAAACAAATCTCATTATGTTTCTTCTGTCTTTGGTATTGCCTAAGCATTTTAGCCTGCTTCTTATACATAAATGCATCATGTACAATGTTCATATTGATAAATTACTTTTGACATACAAAGCCCAGATCGTAACTCCTGAAATTAAAATAATTCAAAAGAATTTTTCCTGGATTATACACATTCCTTGTCTAACTAAAGATGGTACCCTGAACTGAAAATTTGTGGCAAAAATCACTAGTTACCAAAACTTTTTCTTTTTGCAAATTATTTCCAGATCATTTGATTATTGGATTATAAGAAGTGAAAAAAATGTTTCTTTGATACATTGTGCTTGATGAAAGTTTAAAATATGTGATGGTTCTCAAAGTTTGAATTTCTTTTCTCTCTAATAGTTGGACCCACTGGAACAAGCAAAAGTGGATTTAGTTTCTGCTTACACATTAAACTCAATGTTTTGGGGTACGTATATTACTTTGGAGTTAATTAGAAGGCAAATTATTTATTGAGTCAAGGGTGATTTATTTTTAAAATACTAGCAGTTTATATACAGTTATACTTTATGATAACTTTAATAGTCAGATATTTATTTCTTTTGAATCAGAATATGAAATGCCTGTGAGCCACACACATATTTATTATTACATAGAGGGTGAATAATTTTGGATTTAATCAATCATTTGTGTGACTTTTCTTTTTTGTAACTAGAATTTCTTTAATTAATGCTCTTAATTAATATATACACCACTCTATTTTATGAAATCTTTCTCTTATAGTTTATTTGGCAACTCAGGGAGTTAATCCTAAGGAACATCCAGTAAAGCAGGAATTGGTAAGATTCAGTCGATTTTTTTTTTTTACTTTACATGTGTTTGTTATAGTATTCCTGAAGTTAAAGTGGCAGTACCTTTATCACACTAAATGTGGAGAATAAAATTATTTAGAGTTGAAATTATGAAAGTGAGTCAGATTCCATCATGTCTTTAGTTTTTCTTTTTCTTATACTTGTCAGAGAATTGGTATTCCATATATTCTATAAATCTCTGGATGGGAAAAATATGTTATGATTCTAGTAATTATTTATAACTTCCATATTATTTTTCCTATAAATTCTTGAAACCCTGTTCATCTCTACAACTGCCTCCCCTTTTTTAAAACTCTTACACAATTCTTAAAAGTATATTCTAGTTGATTTACTAGCAAAGACGGGAAAGTTTCTCCCCCCCCTTTTCAATTCTTCCATTAATTCATTTTCTCAGCAGTAAAGAATCCAGTTCAGCAACAAAGCTAAAAGCTTTTTTGGCACCAGTTGTATGTGTACTGTCCAGTAATTCTGCATTAGTGACATATTTACAACCTATAATAAATCTTCTAGGTTTGTCTTTGTATTCCATTTGGATGTATAAGTACCGTATATAAGGTCTGGTAACTTAGTTTATGCTGACTTCAAAAATTAAATCAAATCATTCGATTTAAAAGAGAAAAATTAGAAATCAAACTTATGGTTACCTTCTTGGCTTTATGAATAAGAATAATAATTTATTCTTTGTGTTTATAAAATATAAGGTAAATATATATGTGAATACACTTGACACTGTATTATTGTCCTTAAGCCTTACAGTAGTTGATGTGTATGTTATATACCACTTAGTAAAGAGAATATAACAGTAAAATACGTGGTCATTGTGTTTAAAAAAATGAATCAATCAGATATGTTGTCTTTATTTTGTTAATGTGTGGACTATTTTCTTCTTTTAAAGTTCTTGGGGAAAAATGTATTTTTAAATATAGACATTATAAAAAATACTTAAAGCAAAATATAAAGTAGTATGATACACAGATCTTGTTCTGAGCAGTGATACTGGCTGTCAATCCTAAGAAGTGTGTATTGCGTCATCTCTTTTCAACTTTCTAATATAGACTTTACATTTGTAAAATTTCCCTTTTTTTTTTTAACACAAAGTTATTTGGGGTATTTTAATACTTGGCTCTGTCACTGGCAAAAGAAAAAGTCATCTGCCTTCTTTCTCCCTCGGAACCCATTTTATGGAGGAGTACATTCATATTCTGGACAAGGGTCGACAGATAAAAAGAATACATAAACCTTTTCTCCTTCTCTGGCCTTGTGGCAGACATCACTAATTGACCACAGAGTTAATGTGTGAGAGAGATCATGAATGGGGAAAGGCATTGAAAATAGCAAATTGATTTGTTTAACAAATATTTGAGTGCCTGGTAGGGGCCAGGCATTATTTTTAGGTGAGGTAGTTCCTCAGTGAATAAAGCCTTTAAATATCCCTGTCCTGTGGCAGATGTCAGGCTCTCCAGTGGAAGGAGGCAGTTAACATAATAAAGCAAACAAACAAACAAATAAATACATCCATATGAATATATGGTATGTTAGGGGACATATAGTATATGTTATGCGAAAAAATAAAAAATAGTGCACTGTAAAGGGGGAATTGTGTGTCTGGATAGGATTACCATTTTAAATGGCATCTGTTGGGCCGGCTCAGTGGCAACATAGAGCCTGTTGACGAGGTTAACACTTGAATTGACTGGAAGGAAGGGAGGGAGTGGCTCTCTGGGTGTTTGGCTTTAGGTCCTTTGAAGGGCTGGAGTGGGTGTGTGTTGTGAGGGCTTTGGCTTTTACTCAGAGAAATAGGGGAACATGGAGAGTTTTGAGCAGAGTTGTCAGTCTTTTACAATGAAAAGATTCTGAGGTTCTGCATTTTTCTGAGTATGGTAATGTCACTATTTTGATTATTTTAATGAAACTTGCTTTTAAGCAGTGATCAGTCATTTGCTATTTTATGGCTCTCATTACCTTTATTTCTCCAATTGAAATATAGAATAGCCCTTCATTCTGATTAATGATCTCAGAAGATTTTAATGGTATGGCAACCTATTCGATTAGAACTGTATATATCATTAGAAAGTTTGTGCTTATCAATCAAAACTGAAATTGAATAAAAGATTTTGTATTTTCATTCTGCTTAATTTAATTTTGACACTCTAGGGTAATATTAAAAAAAAAACTTGCCTCACCCATTTTCTGTTTAGAACATTTTTGGAGTTTAGTTTGTGTGTTGCAAGTATATGAGAGCTCTATTTTAGATTATAGATTTCAGGTAAATAAGAGCTAATATGTGGATTTAGGTTAATGCTAAATTGAAGAACATATGACTACATATAAACAGTTCAATGTTTATCTCTGTAGTGATGTCTTAGGGTAGTTTTCCCTCCTTTGAAATACTCAGAACACTTTTGAAATGACTTTTTAATGTCTATATTTCCCTCGACTATGAACTCTAGGAGAGTACGGAGCATATTTATCCTACTCGCTTACACTTCCTAGTTCCACTCAGTAGGCAGTGAGTAGATGTCTATTGGATTTAACTGAGGTACAGTATAGTAAAATTTACTGGTGGTGAACAGCTTAGTAAATCTATTGCTTTTCTTCTTTTTTTTCTTTAAGGAAAGAATCAGAGTATACATGAACAGAGTCAAGGAGATAACTGACAAGAAAAAGGCCGCCAAGCTGGACAGAGGTGCAGCTTCAAGATTTGTAAAAAATGCCCTCTGGGAACCCAAACCTAAAAATTCATCCAAAGTTGCCAATAAAGGAAAAAGTAAAAAATAGCCTTTTGGTTTTTATGTACACATGTTCAGAAGTACATCATTTTTATTGTTTTACACAAAATAGATGATTATGTGGAAATGTGTAGTTTAAATGTATTCCTTATTGAATTCATATATAAAATTTACATTTAAATTTGTAATGCTAAATACATTTCTCCCCAGAAGGATTAAGTTGTCTTTATTGATTTTTCTATAGAGCACTGTGAGATTTTTAACATTGTGGTATATTTTATATTTATAGTTTACCATCTCTCTTGACTGGACTCTTGTTTCCTTACATAGGTCAACTTTTCAAGTACCATTTTATAAGCAACTATGAAGTTTAAGTTAAATGTTCTTTGTAAACATTTGTCTATTTTACATGAATGACTTTATGAAGTATGCTTTCTAAAGGCTGAAGTTAAAATACATCTGTTTTCACTATGTACAAGAAAAAGTGAAATGACCTAAATGTCCTTTTTTTTTTCCCTGTATGGTTACTTCATCATGTTTTCATGATTTTGGAAATTGCGTCTTTTGATATTTAAAGTGTGAATTTAAGACTTTAAGGTTATACTTTACTTTTTGGCACTTTGCCTCTATGTCTCACTTAAAGTAAAATATATTCTCATTAATTATAGATGGGAAATGAGGTTGTATATTGATTGCTGAATTTTGGCATAATGACTCTATCCTATCAATAAAGGCTGTAAATGTTGTGTAGCTGACCTGTTTGTTCTTTTCTTTTGAGTAAACTTGCCCTTGAAAGTAGGAAGATAGGTTTTAGAAATCATTAGGAATAGAGAAAATCACCAGTTTTGTTTCTCATGCATAGTACACATACTTCTATTGGTCTCACTTTTCCAGATTGTTTGATTACGTTTTTGAGGATATACCGAGTACTGTACATAGAAGTGTTTGGAACAACTTTCTGTGTTACATAATGCTACTTAAGCAGAGGAGAAATTCAAATGATATTATATTGTGTTTATACTCAGATTTGTTTTTTCTGAAATATTTGTTACAGATAATTCTAATATTAAAATTACTTTTTATGTCTAAGCCTATGAATTTTCATTATATTCCCTTAATGCTTTCAGTCTTTGAATCCACATCATGTGTAGGAATGCCAAGTGCAGTAAAGCACTTTAATTTTTGAAAAAGAAGTTGTTAAAATTTTCTGTGTGATTAATTTTCCATAAGTAACCTTGAATAAATGGATTTCTTGATTTATGGTAGCTGATATTGGAAATGGTCTTAAAATGTAATGGATTTTGTAAAGCATGTTGAACTCTTTCTATGACAGATGAAGAGGAAGTCACTGATAGATGCAGAAAGTCTTTGGGCTCAGATGTCAGTTTTTGAAGTGGAAGAACATTTGTAGTAATTTCATTCTTTTTCCCTCCATTGCAATTTTTGGCATTTTAAAAAAGCAACTTCTTTATGAGAGATACATATGTTATTAAAATTCGGTGGAGTATACATGAGGCCTTATTAATTGCAAAGAAACTTACAACTTGCATTTCTGTATGTTTCTAATTTCATAAAAATATTTACAATTTATAGAAAACCATTAGCTAAATTACAGGTTTTTGAAAATCCAACTCCATAGTCTGTTAAATTGGAAATTCTTAGGTGAATAATTCTTTCAGTGTTTACTGTTTGAAATAAAAAAGTTTGAGTGTATGCCATTTTAAATACTTAGCACATAGTAAGGAGCTGAATAGTAGTAGTGCATTGGGTTGCTTATTTGTTGTTTATTCATTTCACATACACTTAATGACATTTCCATTGCCAAACTGCTCGGTTCTAAATAAAACAACCCCAGCCTTTATTTTTATAGTGTTACTGAAAAAAAGTAGTCTCTTTGTTCAATTGAGATTTTCAGTTACTGGAAAATTTATGACAAATTGTGCTCATTAACCTTAGAAGAACCATAAAGGGTGAGGGGTTGATCTATTTGACTCTGCTACAGTTATTGTTAACGTAGTTTGTTCCAAATGACAGTCTGCTCTAAGTTTAGATGTTAATTACACCTTTTATTAATCTCTTTGGGAATTAACAAGTTGGAGAGGTTATAGCTATAGATATTTTTAAGGCTAGAATTATAGACTATTAATCTAATACTAAATAATGAGATTTTGTCTTTTAATATTATTTTAAGTACAATTTTCTTCGTATTCATAGTTTCAGGATGAGGATTCACTTTAGTAAAGTAGAATATGTTAAGAGGAAAATTGATGCTTGAATTAATGGTTTACATTCCTGGAATTAGGAGGTTATGGCAAGTTGATTGGTTTTTATAATACCCTATAGATTAAAAAAATTGTTCTTTTTAGCTGTTAGGAGTGGATTGGCATTATTTGTAAATAAGGCTTTGAAAATTAGCTATAGAAATTGCTTCAAAACCAGACAATATTGAATACAGATACTTTTTTCTTAAGTAGGTCATTGGAGTAAAAAATGTTTTAGGAATCACTCATTTATGATACAGGTGAACTATAATTTTATGGAAAAAATTATCAGAAATTCTGGTTTTATAAAGTGACGTTAACAGAAAGATTTGAACAATGATTCTGACCCTCATGTGATAGGTAAGTTTGCTATATAAAGGAAAGAAAAACACTGGCATCTCATTTTCTCCCTTCATAGTGTACTTACTAAACTTGCTCAGAGAAATTCAGTGGCTCTTTTACCAAATTACCTTGGTAGCAATCTATTTTATATAAATGTGATGTACTTTACTAATAAAAACTTTCTTTTTCCTATATCCTGGTAAAAAGTCTTTAGTTTTAGAAATACAAACTGTATTTTGTTTATTTTATATATTAGTACTTTGTCATCAACAGTTATTCTAGGGGGGGAAGTGTACAGGGTTATAATAGAATTCTGTAGATTTGTTCTTCTTGATTAATTTGCTATATATTGCTTGTGAGCAGTATTTCAGGAAAATGCTTTGAATGTTTTTGATTTGCAGATTCGTTGTCTTGGCAGAGTGGGCTGTCATAGATGGGCCACTCTGGAGCAGCCTACCTCTGACTCGATGTGGCTTTGTAAAGTGTATTGTATTGCATAATTTTTAATGTAGCCAGGAAGATTAGTAAAGCTACCAGAAAAGGGGATAATTATAGTGATATTCATCAGTAATTGAGGTTTAATTTTAATTCTGTGCCTCCTTCCCCCAAAGGCCAAAACCAGAACCACCCTTCCTCTGTGTTACTCATCTGTCCGTAAGGGTTGAAAAGGAGGCCAGTTCCCACCGCCCACCCCAGTCCTTGAAGATTAGCAAGTGTGTCAGGGCAAAATAACTGCACGCAAGATGTCAGTTTTGTGTAGTGATATATTTCAGACAGTATACAAAATTTGATGGTAGGAAAATAAGCTTTTATAAATGAAACATTTAAGAGACTCTTTTTATTACTTGCTTTCAGTTTAGTGTTGCCTGTAAGGTGCACCATTTCAGTTTGGCAGCTACGATAAATGACTGAGGGAAATTGAAGATGATAATTCAACATTTCAAGATGCTTCTGTTGAAATGAATGTAGACCTACCCAGGGCTTGAATTTAAAGTTGATGGTAATACAGTATTTTAAAGCCAAGTACCCAGGAAATTCATGGTGATAAGATTTGAATGAAATGATTAGGAGAAATAGAGAAGAATACCTTCAATTCCTTGTTATGTAGGTATCATCTATTGAGAGGCTATGTTGAAAAGTGTTACAGTAAAAAGAATAGAGGTTTGTTATATGCAATTTGCTATAGTATACAATTCATCTTGGGTTTTGTCCAGAGAGGTTTAGTTATTGAAATAAGAGAATTCTAACAAGGAGTCACCTGTGATTTAGTGCTATAGTATGGGTTGCCTATAGGCCATGTTGTAATGTATCTGGCTGATACTGTTTCATATAGTGATCTCTATACATGCTCTCTCATTAATGCATCATTAGAGAGTACATGCTCTCTCTAATGATGCATTCCTTACTTGAAATCATTTGCTACCCTATTTCTGATACTTTATTATTTTTCCCTTAAGAAAGAAGTTATTACTAAAAGTATATACACTGTATAGTAGTTTCTGAGTTTTGACATCTGTGAGTTAATCACATTTGTGATTCTATTTGCGAGTGACTTTAGAGATTCATGGCATATATAATATTTTGCAATTTAGTCACGGCACATGCTGGTAACTGCTAAATCCCATCCAGGAAGACATTACTCAGCTAATTAGTTAGCTGAGCTCAACTCTGAGCATCCACAATTTTTTTTCTCACTTGCAGTAACATTAATTTGTTCATTTATTCATTCAACAAATATTTATTGAGCCTCCCACTCCCCCATCCCCCGTATTTCAGGTTCTGTTGTAGGCATAGGAAATTCAGCAGTTAAACAGAATGTAGTGACTGGAAAATGTCAAACTTTTACATGTGAAAAATGGCTGCTATGGGTTGTATTGTGTCTTCCCAAAATGCACATGTTGAAGTGCTTGCAATACCTTGTAATGTAACCCTATTTAGCAAAGGATCTTTGTAGATGTAGTCAGTGAAGGTGAGGTCCTTAGGGGGGCCCTAATCCAGTATGACAGGTGTCCTTATAAAAAGAGGAAATTTGAACATAGACAAGCACACAGGGAGAACATTATATGAAGATGAAGGCAGAGATTGGTGATACTTTTTTAAGCCATGGAAGGCCGAGGATTGCCAGCAAACCACCAGAAGCTAAGGGAGGATGAAACATTCTCCGCCACAGCTCTGAAGAACTGCCAACCCTGCCAACATTGCGGCATCAGACTTCTGCCTCCGGGACTGTGGACAATACATTTCCATTTTGTGAGCCACTCAGTTTGTGGTACTTTGTTTTGGCCAGCGCAATGGCCATTAGATAAGAGGAGTTAAATAGATTAATAACTCGGGTGAGAAAATGTGTGTAAGAAACTTTATGACACAAGATGAAAATAATTCCAAAGAAAACCAGGAACCTGTGTAAACTTATCCAGGAGTTGTTTTGAATTTGGGCAAAGATCTCAGGTCTTAGACCTGGAAATGTCAAGGGTCTGTTATTTCTAAGTCAAAAGGTTCAGACCTTCCTAGCAGACACTGTCTGTGGTGATCGACTATGCCTTCTTTTAAACTCTGTTACCTGGGTTTGAAGAAACGCCTTCCCGGAAGGAAAGAAAACTCTGTCAGGTCTCCACGAAGCAGAGATTTTCCCCAAGCCTATTATTATGTGCCATGTGGTCCTTTCCTAATAAAATGCAGCAGTCAAGTTCAAATAATGGAAATAAATACGTAAAACATCTTACATAAGTTGTATGTAATTTATGCTCTTGGATGAGTACACACCATTTAAAGCCTCATATTGAATTCATCTGGTTGGAGAGATTTCTTAATTTTTTTTTCAAATTCTTTATAGTGTGCTATTCCATTTTCTTCTTTTAAAGTTATGTACCAGAGAACTCAGAAGTATTTTTTTTTTAAACTCTTGATTTAGGCCCAGTTTAATTTTCTCTTTACTCTTCTAAATGTTCCTTATTGGTTTTCAGCTGTTAGAATCAACCAATGGCTTAAACACTGCGTGGAAGAATGTAAGCGGAATCAACCTTGACAATGTAGAAGGAATGTCAGGGTACACAGAAGTGAGTGAGAAATACGCAGGGGGGCAGAGGGCATCCTCAGATGGTGAGAAATCCAGATGCCGCACAACACTGATGGATGAATATGGTTATAAGTTTAAGTTGTAAAGGTAATATATATATATCACTCTTTTTAATTCTTACATCAAAACCTGGAAGGAGGATTAGTATAAATTAAATCCTCATATTAGGGTGAAGAGTCACAGATGCAGTCCAATGAAATATCAGTGTCGGTGCATTACGAAGGTCGCCATCAGAATTAAAGACAAGTGATGTAAAAGCGACAATGTCTCACTTGAGCAGAGGTTAAGAGGGAGCGCAGGTTTTTCGATTTTTGTTTTGTAATGTACA